TGGGAAAGAATAGGAGAGAGTATTATAGACAGACCCCAAGGCAGTTCTTGTGAAAGCCAATCCCTGTACAATACTTAAGCCTCTACTTCTAATACACTAAACACAGCTGACTTCAAATTCAACCATAATGCTGTTAAACTTTTTTTTTAGTGAATAATTACTGATGCCTAAATATTTACTTTAGGGGGGAAAATATAAATGTTGCATTAAAGTTTGCAAGTTATAATTTGACAGGTTAAAGAAAAGTTTTTGTAATACCCCAAGAAGTAGATTATTTGCAGACCTTTTTATTCCTGAATAAAACCTAATTCTTTATATTAATCTAGCACCGTAGTGGGGAAAAAAGAAGGGCCAGACTAATCGTAAAAATATGCAGAAAATACTGGCTGGCCTTTTACATACAAGCTCCATCCATAAATAGCTTAGTAATTTACATTCTAACCTATGCCAGCTCATCATATTGTACTTCAAAGAGCTTCACGCAACTTTTGGACAACCAACAATTCTGACAATCTGAAGGTAAAATTAATTGTTTCAAATTAAGCTGTTAAAAATTAAGCCAAATGTTCTCAGTCACAACACTCCCACCTTGGGGATTTTTTTCTGTCCTTTAGATGAACGGTCTACCTTCCCCTACAAAGGAATCAAATTCTACAGCTATTTTCAAAATTCTGTTATTTCCCAGGAAATATTTTGAAAAAATATTCAGGAAATAGTTTTGCATAATGAAGCATTAAGAGGACAAAAGCCCTAAGAACTACGTAGACTATATATACAAATGGATTATGCATAGAAAACTGAGTTAGGGAAGTATCTGCATTACCTACTTAAACTGTAAAATATCATTCATATTTAGGTTTATAAACACAAGGGTTGGGAACTATTGAATTCTTTTGGCTAAAGCCCAATATTGGCCTTATTTCAGTTTAATTGGAAGTGGATCTTGAATTCATCTTCTCCATGAGATATCAGGAACCTGGATTTCTGTTTGTACCAAAGGTTAATAAGAAATGTGTCTGCAAAAGTCAAACAGCATTAAATACCAAAAACTGATTATTATTCTGCAGGAGTTGTTCTGTCATTCATAATCTCTCCATGCTCCAACCTTCCACAGCTAATCTTTAATGGATGACATGCAAGAAAGAAAAATAACATCTAAAAAGGGACTCTAAAGTGAGCTTTGAAGAAATGGAAAATACTTTTCTTCTGTGCTGGAGGTTATTGCCACCCAAAGTTTATTACTGGCAAGATTACTTATTTCCTCTTACTTTATGAGATATTAAATCAAACTAACTCTACTCTAAGCTAATAGCCGCTTGGATATTTGTTTTTACTTTTGCTATTAAAACTATTGCATATTAATTCAGAAATTACTTTTTGAGTTACTTTAGGAAACTTCAAATAATGTCCACTTGCATTTCCATACCAAATTAAAGAATTCAAAAATATCAGAAATGTTAATTCTCAAAACTTTTGTAAAAACAGACCTGAAAAAAGGGACTTCATTGTAGATATATTGCCGTAGTTTCCAAGAGACTGAAAGCTGTATAACATACAACAGTATTAGAAGTACTGCTTTCCTCTTTTTATACACTGTATTTCCTATCATTACCCTGATCTTTCAAGGAGCATATGCAGAATGCTAATACAGTTTTCAGGCATTAAATGTGGTGTGCAACACCTAAGAGACCTAGCTGTGTTGGACTTCTTGCTGAGTTGACTCTGATTTTAAAAAGTATAAAATTTGAGTAATAGTACTATTAGATATTGACAAACACACACACATACACACCAGAATAGCCCTTGCTACAGAAAGATTTAAGAAATATTTTTTATTATATTTTCATTCAGAATTATTCTTAGTCCAAACACATAGCACTGTGGTAACAACAAAAATATTCCAAGAGTCGAGGCTCTGATGCCAACTATGGTATATCATGTTGCAATAATGGTGGGAGTTACTGTGAGAAGACCAGGGCTTTGATATTTTTTCTGGTCTAGAGAGGCTACCACTATGCTCTACAATCTTCACTTACACCCAACTAGCTCTTTCCTCTAAAATTTCTTTGATGTGTGCTCCTTCCCTTTTTCTCCTCCCACAGAGTGCACGTTCTTTTTTTTTTTTTTTTTAACATATGAAAGTTCTGCAGTCCCACATTTCTAATTTGTCTAGTCTTCATGCCCAGTTCACATGTGGTGTTCTTTTTTTTCCTTACATTATCCTAGTCTCAGTTCTTTTATGATTCCCTTGATTTTCCTGATGTTGCCTCCATCTCTGTTGTTCTTCTTTTCATGATGGGGAGTAAAACTAACGGTACCTTCTGACATTGGCTTATTATGAGAGGAAATCCAACGGAAGAGTAATGAAGAATAGCAGGAACTTGTGGCAACTAGGAACACCAGAAACAATAGCCTCTAATGCTTAAAAGCCTGCAACCAAAACTATGAATTCCATAATTTTCCTTAGCCATAGCTACCTGACACAGAGATAGGGATGCAAGGAAGTTCTAACATCCAGTCTCCAGGCTAGTAAAATTTAAAAATTAACACCTTGTGAAAATGTTAGTTACTGTACACAATATTAAACATTCTCTTCCATCATGTATATCTTCTGCCTTAACTCTACTTTTTATTATTTTCTCATGAAGCATTTCACAAATCTAGACTTTTTCTCTTCACTTCTTCCTCTGAACAAAGTAAAAATCATAAAGTGACAAGCTTTGGTTATTTGTTTCTGAAGACTGCTGTAGCTTCATTTTAAAATGGTCTTTGTCTTCAGCTTTTCTGTTCTTTCCACAGGACTTGTTTAGGTAAAACCCATCAATTAGAGGGTTATATTTTAAAACAGAATTGTAATATTCCTCAAAGTTGATAACATTTTTATGGTGTACCTTTCTGATGTTTTCTACAACATAATTTGTGGAGTCATTTGCTTATCATAAAGTCAGTACTAAGTAATAATAAAAATGCAAACACCCATATTTACAAGCTTCACTCTACCATGTGTTATACACTTCAGCAATTAAACATTAACTAGCAACATGAAATCACAGCACCATGTGTTCTCCTTTCCTCAAAGGACTTAATACAAGGGGAAAAACTTTTTCCTTAAACACACTGAGTCTTCTTTATTAGGTCCTGCTTGTCCATTAGAACTCTCCCCAAGACTTTTATGAGAGACACACAGACCTCCACAAATTCAGTTTGGTTCACATCATTCCAGATTTCAAAACATTTACCCAAACTTGCTAATGTTCTTTGAACTGTAAGACAGGAAGCAAAAAAAACCCCCATGAAATATTAACGATGCTTCCTTTTGGCAAACAACTTAAGTTGTAAGGAGCCTCTTGCACTCTCTCTCAGCATTTAAAGGATTATATACTTCCTGAACTTGTAACAGGAGAAAAAAGGGTATTTTTTTAAAGGTCATCCATATTGCCCATTGTAACTCTCATTAAAATTTGGTTTATTCTTCATTTAAAAAGGAATGACTATGTTAATTATTACATCCATATTCATGCCATATACTTAGGATATAATTAGAAAGTTTAAATAGTAGCGTAGGAAAAAAACAATTTATTAACAAATATTTCAACTGTGTCTATAAAAATGAAAGTAAACATGGGTTTTGACACACCTTTTGACACACATTTCTTTCTAGGTTTTAATGAGCAATGAACACCTGTATCTGAGAGAATATTTCTCCATTATAGGTACAGACATAAAACACTGTGCAAATATCCAGGAACAAACACAAAACTTGGGATTCAACCCAAACAATTTCTATTAGCTTTCAGCTGCTGGATATAACTATCATATACAGTGTGGATATTTTTCTTCTGCAAATAAATCAAGCAGTTTATGTAAAATGAAGTAAGAATAAAGTTATGCCTGTATTTAAATTTGTTTCCTAATATGTAGATTAGATCTGCCTTTCCCTTCCTCCACCACAGAAATCTAGGAACTCTCTCTTCTGTCTACAATATACACATAATTCTGTGTTCTCAGGAGTTTGACATTAAGTGGAAAGTCAGCCATATGTTTTTTCAGCTGGAGACTTTATTTTCTGCTCCATTTTCCAGAAGACAGTTACTCCTCCCTTTAGTAGCAATATTCTGAGGACATGTATTAGTACTATTAATACTACACGAAGTGTGTGTAGCCTATTAGGACACAATTTTACCTAGCTTACACTTATGAACAAACGATACAATAAATTTATAAAAGCACTCCCACTAATTTATTTGAAAGACTTGGAGAAGAACCTCAGAGTATTTGTCATCCACTGGGTACACGTACACACCGTCACTTTTCAATAATAAAAATAATCAGCTTCATTACTTTAGAAATTTCCAAAATCATACAATACAAACGGTCTCCATTCTTGTATGTCTACCCAAAGATCAGCAACATATATAAGCATGCATTCACTTTCAATTATAAACTTAAAAATCTTTAATTTTGGGAATTTGTATAAACTCCATACACTAGTGACATATTATCATCAAACAAAAAATCATTGTAACTATGAAAAGAACAGATTTTTTCAAGAAAAGCGCAAGTCTCTAGTTGAGGTGAATGTGTGACTATCTCCATAAACGGGGAGGGGGTAGTATTGCTCTGAAAGAGCTAAAACAATAAGTGGTATTTGAACTGCTGGTTGAAAGGTAGAGGCACTGGTAATCATTATTTCCCCTTGTTTGTTCAGGACCTTCCAACAAAACAAACAACCTTTTTGTGATTGGATTGACATGGTGTTAACAATGCATTTAATGCCCAAATCAGTATGAATACAGGTAAAGCTCCTACTAATACCAGTACCAGGATGTTAAAGCCACCTATTTTCTAAGCAACTCTAAACAGCCATACATAAAAAAAAAAAAAAGTCAAATCTTCCCTCCTTTAGCAAATAAAGCTTACATTCACTAGGCCACGTCATATAGCAACCGCGGGTACTGTTTGAGCCATACAGCCATCTGTTAAACGCTCGCCTACTGTACCTGCAATCTTTTCTGCAATCTTAGCTTCTGTAGCGCTCTCTTGCAGTTCTAAGTCCAGTTTTATTGTCTTCAGTTCCTTGTCCTTTTCAGATAGCTTATCTTGAAGCTGAATTGAACAAATGGACAGTAAGATTCTTATCTGGCTGAAGCGGTCAACCAGCTCTTTTAGCCATAACAAAATTTTAAATAATAGTTTCTTACCCCCAAATTACAAACACCAAGCAACACAACAGTTCAATTAATTAAAGGACAAATGTTAAAAATCTCTTTTTTATCATCTGCCCTGCCTTGCTCTGCAAGACAAGCAGCAACGTGTGTATCATTATTTTTACTTGGGATTCTCTTCAGATATCACCAGCTGTGGTCTTTCTAAGTAAGCTCAGAATAACATGGAATATAATGCAGGTGGTGTCTGAATGAGTAGTCTATTTCCAGCCAAGAGTACTGACATTATAGCCTGAAGAGACTGTGGTGTAAATGCACAATTTTTCATGTGCAACGCCAGAAAGAAAACTGGTATTCTTTCATATGTTAAGGCTTTTCTTTTAATGGGCAATTCACTAAATCTGTTCTTGGATAGGTATCTGAGTTTGCCATTGAATATTCAATGACACTTCATGGAAAGACTATAGACTTTTCTGTTGTTTAGGCACATGTAATCACTACAAACGTTAGAAGCAATGCAATGTGTGGGTAGGATGGAACTTTCTTCCTCTCAACAAAGAGAAGGTATCAGGGCACATTCATTATCTGGACCACATGTACAGAAGCATGACTTCCAGATTCTATTCATGGAATTCTGGCCTTCATTTTGGTCCTTCTTGGTTTTCATCCATGGTGCAAGAACCTATGTCACTCATCAAAATGGTCAAAGGGTAGGACAAGAGATTTTTTTAATTTCAGAGAAGCAGTTGCTAAGCAGATACTAAGAATCCAAAATAACAAGAAAGTTATTGATTGGTGCAGTAAAATAAATAACAAAACTAAATTAGGAACAGTTTAAAATGTATGTTTCGTAAGACAACCATAAAAGAGCAAATACTGTGATTTGAATATCTCAATTGTACCTTTTTATTTTTGGCCCTAAGAGTGTCCAATTCTTTTAAAAGGAATGCAGTTTCTCTTTTTCCACCTAAATCTGCAGCATCCTTCCATGAGGATATAAATTCAGGCAGCATTCTGTTAGTTTTTCTTCCTATGGTACTGTGTTTAGGAGGGGAAAAAAAAAAAAAAGAATTAAAAATAATGCAAAACCAGTTCCTCTTCAACCCCCTCCCCAAAGCAAAATGCACAGAATAAAATTATCAACCCTTGTTAACCATTACAAATGTATTAAGTAGCCAGTAAAACGGATATCTTTCCATCACTTCTTAAATCTGTAATTCTGAAAAAATATCCGTAAATCTGGAATAGTACATAAATATACTACAGTACTAAGGCATAAAACAGATGAATATAAATTGGCTATGAAGCCTATAAACAGAAAATGGTTAAGGGAAACAAATATTAAAAACCTGTGCTTAACACAGAGCAGCAAAGTAATAAAACATTTGGGGATCAAACTGATGGTCAGCTTAAAAGAAATCAAATTCTTTGGTAGGATGGATAATTCCACATGAAGTGAAATAATATCCAGTGGACAAGATCTAGGAGTTCATCTTGAAGAAATCTGTAAAGTGATGGTGTTATTCTAAATATTATAACTGACAACAGGAATTCCATACTGTATACCACTCACAAAGTTTTAAGATAACTTATTTAGACATAGGGAAATATAATACAAGATTCAAAGCCCATAAAAATTCTGTCTCAAGGTAAGAGTTTTATAAAAAGTCCTTGGCTCTCCATTGATACAGAGAACTTGGATCTCACTTGTAAAATGTCAGCAAAATCAGTAGATGAATGGACTAGAAGGGGGATTAGCAAATATTTTTACCATTTACTTCCCTTAGGTGTTTTCTGTTTATGGGCTTCATAGCCAATGAGTCTTAAGAAGTAGCCACAGAAAAGTTACACCTTCTGAACTCCTCTTTCTACTGTATATATTACTTTCATTATGTGTAATTGATATTCTAGAAAGAAAAGCTATCTGTTGTTCCAAAGAGTCATCCTCTTAGGTAGACAGTTGTCTGTACTCAGACATCCCTTTCTTCACCTGCTTCCACTGGATTTATTTTCTCCATGGTTAAGAAGGAAGTTAAGATCTGTACTCTGCAAGCAAACTACAGTGTAACCTAAAGCACATCCAACATAGACAGCAGGGAGATTTACCTCAAAAAAGTACTTAGGGTATTACACTATATATGGGGTGGAAGAATGCTTAAACTGCTTGTCTTCACTTTCAAGATACTTTAAAGCCTATTCCATCGTTGCTCTGTCCAGCAAATTTAATTTAGTACTGTTTCAGACTGCAAGTGATAGATGACTCTGGACACTATTGCCCTGACATTACAAAGCTCAATTTTTTTTGTTCATTTTCCATGCTCAGGAGATGCTTCCCATGAACAAGATTAAATATACCTCATCATCATCATCTGTCTATCCTTCAAATATTTTCTTCCCGATGTCTGAAAGAAAACTGACAAGTCACACTGATGGTGCACTAAGACCATCATCTACAATGCAAATCAACATTGAGTCAACATTTCCTGGGTCGTTCTATATCAAGATATTTTCTCATCTTATATTCTAATTGCAATCTATTTGGGTGTCTTGGGTTTGAGTGAGTGGTGGGGGTTTTTGGTAGCAGGGGAGGGGGCTATAGGGGTGGCCTCCTGTGGGAAGCTTCTTGAAGCTCCCCCAGCTCCAAGTCAGCTCCACCTCTGCTCAAAAACTGAGCCAATCAGCTGAGACTCTGTGATAACCTATTGAAGAAGGGATGTGGTGATGAGCAGTTGGACTTGTAAGGAGGAGTTGCAACAGCTGCGTGAACACCAAGGTCAGTGGAGGAATGGAGGAAGAAAGGAGGGGGGAGGTGTGCCAGAGCAGAGACCCCCCTGTATCCTGTGGTGACACAGCAGGGTGGCCCCCCCCTGCCACTCATGAAGATCTACGGTGGAGCAGACATTGATTTATGGCCTGTGTTTCGCATGGTTGATCAAGGTGCTGTGCCCAAAGAAGGCCGGGGTCTTGTGGGAAAAGGTAGACCCTGCTGTTGTAGCTCAGCACTGGGAGGACTGCAGCATGCGGGGGTGTCCCACGCCGGAGCAGCTCAGGAAGGGCTGCAGCCGTGGGAGGGACTTCAGTTGGAGAAACTTGGTGTCCCACGCCAGAGCAGTGTAAGGAAATGCTGCGGCCCATGGGAGGGACTCATGTCAGAGAAAGTTTGTGGAGGACTGTCTCCTGTGAGAGGGGGGTCACGGTGGAGCAGGGGGAAGAAGTTCCAGAAGCTCCCCCCACCAAAGATGGAAGAAGAGGCAGCACAGATTGCACCTCCCATTCCCTGCCCCCTGTGCTGCTGGGAGGAGGAGGTAGAGATATTGGGAGCAGAGCTGAGCCCCGGAAGAAGGGAGGGGTGGGGGGAAAGTGTTCTCAAGATGTGGCAATGATTCTCACTGTCCTATTCTGTTAAGTGTTGTTGTTAGTGTCTGTAATAAATCTATGTTCTTTTTTTTCTTCCCCTATCGAGTCTGCCTTTTGCTCGTGACCATAATGGGTGATCTGCCCCTCCTGGTCCTATCTCAAATCCCAAGCCTGACTCATTTGTCCCTTCTCATCATTGGAAGGGAAGAGCAGGGTGAGTGGCTGTATGGTGTTTGGCTGCCACCCAGGCTCAAACCACGACATTGGGGAAGGACAGATTTTGTGCAGTTTATATTATTTACCACAATGAGGTTTTGGCCTGTAGCTTTAGGATCCTACATGCAATATATTTGTAGATTAGATAGTTCAACACGCTGACTGCTGTGGGAGGTTAATCTCAGTGTTCAAGACCAGCTTGACTGCCAGGGTGAGTGGCACTGGTGAAGGGTAGGAGCAATAATCTTTGGCTGACTGTGCTGGGCTGTACTTGAGCACTCAGGATTGTATTTGGCTTTTAGTGCAGGCTGCATTGCCCTAACAGGTCCTAATCTCAGGTCCTAATCAAAACAAGGCAACAAAACAGATAGAAAAGTACTATAGACTGGTTTTTGCACAATGGGTCACCACTAGATCATACTACAGATAACAAAGTCAGGTGTACAATCTGTCAGACAGGTGAAGAATTAGCGTATATTTTTCAAGAGTACATCATAGGGCTCTGCAGCCTTAATCCCATTTTCAGAAGCAACTCTGTTAATCAGTTAAGAGTGCTTCAGAATCAGGGTTCAGAATGCCTAAGTTGCTCAAAACTGGTAGCATGTTCCCTAGTCAGATGAGTATACCTTCATATATTATGTCACATACAGCATGACTGTATATGTTTCTTAAGACTGCAGTGGAAGGCCATATCTCAGTACAGAAATCATTGTCAATAAATGACTAAAATTAATGATAATAAATTCTTGAGTTTGTATTACACTTTTTAACCACATTTGCCCTTCTCCAGATTCCTGTCACAGACTGCCTGCAAGGTATTACAGCTCCTCATCCTCACTCTTCCACCTTCATCCAGACTTCACCCTTCTTTATTCCTGCTTCCTACTCACTTCTACCCTGCTTCATTCCAGCTTCCTACTCACTCATCATACTTAGGCTACATTGTGCTTGTTGTTTAAAGCCACAGATACTACTAGACTTTCAGATCATCTTTTCTAATTCTGTTCAGTATGCATTTTTAAAATTTTCTGGGGAGATCCCAATCACTGAAATAACCACAGTATGTCACATAAACCATTGCCATGATCATGTTTTCTATCACTGCTAGAGAATACAGTAGTGAAATGTTGCATTCCACAAGGGAAGGACAGATATAGTGAGTCTAAGTAAAAATCTGACTTACCAATTCTCCGTTGGGAAGTAAACTTCCCTACCTTTATCCAAAAATTTGTATGCATATAGTCTGTAATTCGAATATAGAAAAACTATATAGGGGTATTTGTTTTTACCTTAATTCTTCAGGACTGGAATTACAGTCATTTGGGACTCCTCCTCTTTGTCTGGTTACTGGCAAATCTGAAAGTTTCAGTGCTTCAGCCTCTGCCTGGATGAAAAATTCTGGGTTTTTCTGAGAATTCTGATGAAACTGAAACTCAACACAAAAGTCTTCTTTTTTCTTTCCCAAGACGTGTGTTTCTAATTGGAAATAGAAGCAAATGCAATTTTTCATTTGGAGAAAGAAGCACAAACTTAAGATTTCTAATTCAAAAATGGCTTGCTATATTCTTATTTGTAGCAGAAAGGAGAAAATAGTCTAGTTTCAGATTCACAGCTTCCTCATCCCACTCCCATTAAGGAATGAGAGCTGTGTTACATAGACCAAGGATGTAGGAGTTACGATCTATTGACTGGATTTTTCTCATGGAAACCTGAAAAATTCATCACCATTTCCTAATTCCTCTTCTTCTTAAATGACTGCTTAAAATAACATTGACCCTAGAAAATTATCTACCTGTCTTTCGTAAAAATCAGTGCTACTCTAGTGAGACATGATGAATTTTTGCTGTAGACAGGGAAATCTGCAGGTTGTGAACTAGACTCTTACTTGTATTGAGGTCTTTTTCAAATCCATTTTGGCTACAAAAGGAGTATCAGCACGCTGGAATTAGCAACATCAAATTTAAATCCCCATTATTCACTCTTGGAAAGTGTAAGGTACAGGCTCATACAACTAAAGAACTTGAAGAATGCAAAGCACAAATTGTGCCAAAGGGGAAAATTATCTGATTAAAATGTTGAGTGTGATAGTTAGTTCTCTTAAGCTTGGCTACTAGATATTTTTAGGACATATTTCTGATATCAAGGTACTTAAATTAAAGAAAGGTCTACATACCATGAATGTTAAGTTTTAATTATAGAACTATATTAAAAATGAGGAAGAATCCTAAAAAAGCTGTAAATGAAAAAAAAGTGCAAAGTGCATATATTCTTCATTCTTTCATTTAGATTAGTAGAGAACGAACACTGCAGCTTTGGCTCATTTAATAAAGTTAGCATTTCCAAACATTTTGGATAAATTATACAGTATACATTCTTTGATCCAACTTATTACTTCCTCCTCAAAAATAGTAAGAAATTGTCTATACAGCTGCAATCATCTACAAATAACCTTAAAATACACAGTATCAAGGTGTCATGCTGCATGCAAGACACAAAAGCACAGATTCCAAGTCAAAAATACTGAAGACTGTCTCTAAAATCTGTTGTAATAGATTACTCTTTCCTTGAAGAAGGAAAGTCACAGCCATGGCACAGGAAACATCCCGAGAGCAGAGAGATGACTTGCGGATTGTCTCTAGTCGCTTTAACAAGTTCCCATACAAAGCTTTGTGTTATTACCTTGGGGAAAAAAGTTACTGTATTCACTGCTCATCTGTAGTCTCCTTATCTACTTCAGCACAAATCCACTTGAATCCACTCTCACTATTCCTCTAAACTATAATCACTGATTTTTGTACTAGAGAAGCAACAGTCAACAGTGTATCACAATCTTTGTTTCTGAGCAGTAATAAACATGTGGAGACTGTAACTTGATAAAACATTTGTTAAAAAGTATAGCTTAACATTATTTTCAGTACTGTGATTGAAATACATTCCTCAGATCATTTCACAGCTAATGCAGGAATTGAACACAGTCCACAGCCACCTGGATTCTTTGAGCAAATATATGCTGTTGTTCACTGGCTCGAAATCCTGCAGGTTTTTGAGCAAAGATTTCCTTTTAAGCGGTGCTACATTTTAAAACTGGATTCAACTTCTTGCTCCTTCCCACACTAAGTAGCAAGGATCTCTAAAGAAACCGGCATTTAAAAACCCACTATGTATACTCTAAGAACCTGCCCCAACTTGGGAGTAACAACACATAAGGACAAAATTCCAAATCCTCTCCAGTTAATACTATCTGAAAACTAACCTAGTCCGAATTTCAATACTTGCAAAGCTTTTTATAGGGAGGCATACATTTGCTTGAGATGTGTTTCCCATTTGGCATATGTTATAAAGAACTGCCTATCAAACATCATCTTGTCCACTTCTCCCATTTCAGATGCAGTGATTTGTATATATATATTTAGTTGCAAATTATGTTCTCGCATACTGAAGGGGAAGTACAATGGTTCACTTGCCACAACTTTTCATCCCCTTCTTCTCTACAGCACCAGTATTTTCTATAAGCCATACATATCTGAAGTGCCTCAGGTGAGGTGCCCTGCATTCTGTGCAAAAATTCAAGCACAACCTATCCATTACAATAATCAGTGACTATATTGCCATGAACCTTTGTTCCTTGTTTAGCATTACTGCACTTTTCTTTGGCCCACCCTATATGAAAGCTGGAGAAGAAAAACCTTCTCACTCCAGAATCCTGAAAAGATTAGACAGTTACACCGAGACAAATCAAAAAAGGGATTCTATCCCTTTAGCATGAAGGAAATCAACTGAATAAGTTTTTCTTTTCTTTCACAGTTCCTGTTTTTGCAATTTGCTGCTTTCAGTGCTGGGATTTCAGAAAGACTTCACAGTTGTTGCAGCTGGAAGAGACCACTGGAGATCCTCCAGTCCAGCCCCCCTTCTCAAGCAGCCCTGGGCAACCTGCTCTAGGTGACCCTATGTCCAGATGACTTTTGAATAGCTCCACAAGCAGAAACTCAACAACCTCTCCAGGCAGCCTGTGCCAGTGTTTGATCATCCTCATAATAAAAAATTGTTTCCTTGTATTCAGATGGAATTTCATGTGTCTCAATTTGTGCTCATTGACTCTTGTCCTGTCAATGGGTACTGCCAAAAAGTCTGGCAGCTTCTTCATTCCCTTCCACTGGGTACTATTCATGTTGGTAAGATCCACTCTCCTGAGCTTGCCATTCTCAAGGCTCAATCTCAGCCTCTCCTCCAACATAAGATTCTCCAGTCTCTTGTGGCTCGTTGCTGGACTTGCTCCAGAAAGTCCATCTCTTTCTTGTACAGGGAACTCAGAACTGGACTTGACACTCTAGATGTGACCTCACCAGCACTGAGCAGAGAGGCTGGATCACCTCCCTCAATCTGCTAGCAAGGCTCTTCCTAATGCAGCTTGGGATGCTGCTGACCACCCTTGCATGAGGGCGCATTGCTGGCTTATGCTCAATTTGCTGACCACCAGGATCCTGATCCCTTTCTGTAGAGCTGCTTTCTATCCAGTTGGTAACCAGCATATACCAGGAATTACTCCTGGCTAGGTGCAGGGCTTCATATTTCCTTCATGAGGTTCTTCTCTGCCCAGAAGACGTTGAACAAGACTGGATCCATTTTTGACTCTGGGAATACACCACTAATGACCTGCCTCCTACTGGACTTTGTGCAACTGATCACCAACATCTGGGTGCAGACATTCAGCCAGGTTTCAATCAACATCATTGTTTACTTATTTAACCCATACTTTGCTTCTCTAGTAGGATGTTATGGGACACAGAGTCCAAAGCCTTACCAAAATCAAGGAAAACAAGATCTTGCTTGATCCATGCTTTATTTCCTGCTCATCATGATAGACCATTTTTGAGCTTGGACAAAGCGATCCTTGAATATCAACCATCTCTCTTGGATCCCTCTTCTCTTCAGCCCTGTATCCTATGGGATTCTTTCAAGCAGATCTCAGAGGAGGCCAGTCTATTCTCCTGAAGTCCACTGCTGAGGTTCTGCTTTTTGCCTTGCTCCCTCCTCTCAGGACCCTGAACTCCACCACTTCATAGTGAATGAAATAAACATGTCTGCATGGTGAGGTAAACATCTGCATTAGCAGCTGAACTTCAGGATAAATCTTTAGGCCACATCAAGATATGGATTTTTATGCCTTCAACTGTAAGTCACAGTCTCATGGTTCAAGAAGCTTCTCACAGGCGGCCAATGTTGTAGCCCACTCCTGTCACCAAAAATCCCACCACTCACTCAAACCTAGGACATACAGCAGAGGGAAAAAAAAGAATTTAGAATGGGACTAGACCTGTGTTGGCATTTATTAATGCTAACGCTGCTTCTTTAAGCAACTTACACCTGCAGAACACCTTTTCATTCAGTAGATTCCCTCAAGTACATGGGTAAGATCAAGCAGCATCACAGCAAACCTGTAAGCCGCATTCCCAGAAATGTTAGGCAAAACACAGAGGATCTGTTTTTTTCCCTACTGGCTTTGTAAGAGGGACAATGACAGCAGCCTCCTCCACTCAGAATTGGAAGTGCTCTGCCCAAGGGCATTAAGGTTAGAAGTTTTTACTTGTTTAATAAATCTATAATGTATTTTTTTTTTTGGTTAACATGCTAAATCTGTCAGTAGAATGCTTTGGGGAAGACATTTTGAACACTGTCAGATCAGTGGGCATACCAAATTTTTATTTTTAAAACCACTTTATTCTCTGTATAGCCCATGACCCCCACCCAAATAATTTAGCCCTTGGTACATGGTAGCTTGTCTCACTGTTAAACTAAGTAGCGATACTAATCAATGCACTTCAGTGCTTTTCCTCATACCTCCTACAAATCGTATTGTGCACTAATTACCAATGCTGCAGAGACACACTGGGGAGTAAGTAGCATTTGCAATAATCAGGCTGCACAAGAAACATCAGAGAAAGGGTAAAACAGCCTTGCAAGCTTTGGGAAAAATGTTGTAGTTTTCATCAAGTGGTATCACCACCACCAGTTCTGGTTCTTGAGTATACTAAACAACTTATTTTCCATATAAAATAGAACAAGTTCAGTAGCCCAGATTAATATTTCACTATAGGGAGAAGCTGAACAGCTGATCTTCTGTATGTATTTATCTTGAATGAATAGCTTGTTCACATTGAGGGAAAGAAAAGCAAATGTTAGGAAGAGGGAATATAAAGACACTAGAATTAAAGTTGGCAATTGATTGTGAGGGACGTAAGGGGAAGATAATGCTGTCACAGCTTGAAATAGTAAAGGCAGAACAGAATTCAGTGCTGTTAAGCTGGGAGTGGTTAAAAAGTCAAGTAAAAACATTGAAACTAACACATTTTGCAGGCAGCCACTACTTAGTTTCCTCTAAGAAGTGGGGGATTGGCACGGAGATCAGGGAAAGCACAGCATTTCAGAATCCTGTACTGACACTGATAATATGGAAAGGAATGTTGAAGCTGTAAATG